ATGCAGGGCTTTTTTTCAGTCAGAACTCAGTTCTGGCACCTCTCAGGTGGGTGCCATTGCCATTCTAAGAGAATGAGGAAGGCATTCATGGTGAGTTCAAACTCCTCTTTTTCTAGAAAAATAGCACTGGTGATACAGTGCCTGCTGAGGATAAGGACTCTTCTTAAAATGGTAGCCTGGCTACTCACTACTCTTTGAAGCAATGAGAAGGCCCATTGGTCTTAAGAAGACATGGGATGATGGTGGAAGTGTAACCTAGAGTCCTTTCTGAAATCTCATTTTGCCCTGAGGGAGGGGAGTGTGTGTGCAGCCCAGGCAGAAGGTGCACTCTGTACATACTCATGTAGGGTTGCCATATTTCAAAAAGTAAAAGCTGTTGAGCGTTTGGTTACCAAAACACCAAAAAAACCCACCCCACTATTTTTTGATTGACTTGCCTAAGATCCAGGACAAACAACTGCCTTTCAGAAATCCACCCCAGACATCAATTCCACCTTTGAAATTCTGGTAATGTCTGGGAAAATATTTTTCTGAGGCTCCTAACCATACCTCCCACTACTCAGATCTGTATGAAGAGTGAGTGGTCCTTAGTCTCCTTTCAGTCAGAGGCAGGAGACAATGTCAGCCTGTTCCAGATATTTAGCCTTTGAGAGTTCTGGACATATTTAGTCAAATTTTAGATGCCAAGTTTATTTAAACTACAATAATTTACTGTTAAAATACATGTCTCAGGGCAATTAATTAATTAATTTTGTGTGTGTGTGTGTGTGTGTGTGTGTGTGTGTGTGTGTACATATATCACAGTAATTAACTGTGAGATATATATAGACATATAAAGATAGAGATAGAGATAGAGATAGAGATAGAGATAGAGATAGATAGATATAGATATATAGATATAGATATATGGGACATGGGTGGCACTGTGGGTTAAACCACAGAGCCTAGGGCTTGCTGATTGGAAGGTCGGCAGTTCAAATCCCCGCAATGGGGTGAGCTCCCGTTGCTCGGTCCCAGCTCCTGCCAACCTAGCAGTTCGAAAGCACGTCAAAGCACAAGTAGATAAATAGGTACCGCTCTGGCGGGAAGGTAAACGGCATTTTCGTGCACTGCTCTGGTTCACCAAAAGCGGCTTAGTCATGCTGGCCACATGACCCGGAAGCTGTACGCCGGCTTCCTCGGCCAATAAAGCGAGATGAGCGCCGCAACCCCAGAGTCATCCGTGACTGGACCTAACAGTCGGGGTCCCTTTACCTTTACACACACACACACACGCGCGCACACACACACACACACACACACACACATCCTTGTCAAACTGTCAGGGTTGGCAAGTCTATTATGGGAAATTGATCCCCATATAAGACTTCTCTGCTAGTAACTCACACTCTCACTTACGTAAGAATGAATCACTTTCCTGGAGTAGCCTGACCTGCCACCAACTCCAGGAGGGTCTGTTTTGTTGCTAATTGCTCCTAGACCAAACCATGAAAAGAGACAGGAGGCAAAGGTACAGATTAGACTGTACTCTCAAAGCAACCTTCTCTAACAAAGCTTCTTCAGTGTGTTCAGTTATGCCTTCTTCACAGAACTCCTTCTCGACGAATGCAGGAAGAACTTGACTAATATCAGCAGTAAATCTCACCACCTTCCCTCTGACCCTGATTTCTGGAAGAGGTGTTTTATTTGGGCTGGCTTTTAATACCTAAATTTAAAGAGGCATGGGATGATTTAAATGCATATATATATATATATATATATATATATATATACACACACACACACACACACACACACACACACACACACCCCTTATATTTCATATGACAGCTTAATCCAGTTTTAATTTTGTTCCTATGATGTACTCTCAAGGAATAGGCCACTCATCTCACTAACTAAAGGAAAATTTTAAAAAATTGTTCACATGTTGTCAACTCTGTGCCTTAAATCCTTCTGGCCCTGTCAGTTAGCTGCTTACCATTAGCATGAGCAGTTTTCCTACTGTGTTGAATATACCGGTCATTTTCTAATGTGAAAAGCCAATGTTGACTCTTTCCAACCTGACTGTATAGCAGCCAGCTATAGCATACATGGGAAGAAATAATTTGGAGTCCACTAGCATCTCTTTGCGTTTATACCACTTGTTAAAGATGGAATTTATTACATTAACTCTGACACCCAATCACAAATAGCTCTCCAAAGTGAATAACAGTCTTTCATTTAATTGTGCGTCCACACGCTGTTTGTTTTTATTTTTTGTCAGCTGAGGGAGCAAATATATAAGGAGGAATTTGAAAGCTGTGAACAGCATATTGTGCTTTTGCCCCGCTTATTGGCGATAGGACTCCTACACATTTTGGTTTATTGGTATACTTGTGACTAATCCACTTTTGAGGGGGCCAGGAAGATTGAGCATAACAAATTAGTCAACCAAAGCTATAACTGAAAGATTGTCTAGCTCATTAAGACTTCACCTCATCGCTTGCATAAATTCATCTAATTCTCATAGCTTCCTACTTACCAAAAAACCCAGGAAATTTTTTATTATTACTACTATTACTTATCTTCAGATTTATATACTGCCCTTCATCTAATGCTCTCAGGGCAGTTGACAAGATAAAAACATGTGATAAAAGCACAAATAAATAGTTAAAACAGAAACAAGAAAACAATAGCCTCACCCCTACCAGAAACACAATTAAAATGCTGTAAAATACTAATCAGCAAAATGGCTTGGTTGAAAAGCAATGTTTTTACCTGGTGCCTAAATATATATAAGGAAGGCACTAGACTGGACAGAACATTCCACAAAAGAGAAGCTCCTGCAGAAAAGTCCTCGTGTTTCCACCCTCTGGACCTCACATGGAGGAGGAACATGAAGAAGGACTTCAGATTATCAACACAGAGTCTGGGTCGGTTTATATGGGGAGAGGTGGTTCAATTATTTGAGGTCTATGCACAAACAATGTTGAGGGTGTCTAAGGACAAACCAAGGAATGAGAGACCTTTTCAGTTCCAGGATGCTGTTCTCTCTAACTGGAAAACACCATCTCCTTTCAAAATGAAGAGGAGGTGAGATTCCTAAAATAAAAATCTCTCTGCACAAATGTTGCAAGTCTGCTACTCCTTGATTTCTATGAGAACAAAAAAGACACCTTCATTTTCCATTAAGGATGTGCTGATTATAATAAGGAAATCCAGACACAAGGGTGCATGTTCCGCTTATGAATACTGATTGCATCATTCAAAACTACTATAATGACAAATGGACGGTCCAAGTTCCCAATGAACTGGGCAAGACTAACATTAACTCCTGACCATTTATTCCAAAGAATCTTCAGACTGTAGTTTAACGGAACATGCGAAGTCTGTCTTCCTGCAGTATTTACTGTGGCTGATTCTCTCAGTTGTCAAACTGGTGCTTGGAGTTCTCGGGGTCTTTCCTAAATCTCTCTTTTTTTTTATAAGATATTTATTAAGATTTTCAAAATATTACAAAATAAAGATAAAAAAAGAAGAAAATACAAAATAAAAATGGTTAAAAACAACTCAATCTTTCCATTACTTAATTTTCATTAGCTTGTTTCCCGGACCTCCTCACGCCTCCCTTTTTTGTATTCCAGTTCGGTTTGTTGGTTCAGCAAATCCTTACCCTCTTTGGTTATCCTAGTCTTTAATCTTAAAATATTGTAACGTTAAATTTTTACCTATTAATAATCCATTTTTCATGTTCCCTTATAGTATTACAGCTGAAAACCACTTAATTTCTATCCAACATCATTCTAACATTCATTAATTTTACAATATTTCTGTAGATAGTCTTTAAATTTCTTCCAATCTTCTTCCACCGACTCTTCTCCCTGGTCTCGGATTCTGCCAGTCATTTCCACCAGTTCCATATAGTCCATCACCTTCAGGTCTTTCCTAAATCTCAAGGTACTCCCAGGCTGTCTCTGTTTTCTGAGTAGGATCCATGCACATACCAGCAAAGCCAGGCTGCACTATTAAAGTGAATTTGGGGTGAGGAAAGTGATGGGGAAATGTATGGGATAACAATTGCTCGATGTTACGTTGCATAACCATCCCCACAAACAAATCAGAACAAATGCTCAATAAACAGCAGACATCGTATAATCTCCCTGCAAACGTTGTGCAAACAAGTCTGGATACATGCTCAATAACCAGGTGATCTGGAAGTGGCCCTTGTGTAGGAAACTGAGTTAGCACGGGGGTTCTCGATCCCCTCCTGTGCCTCGTGGTAGCTGGGAGCTCCATCATCCTATCCAATCCACCATAGTTCTATGAGAACTTACTAGGGTCTTTGGTGGGAACTATTAACTTTGCTTTACCCTCTTGGCCCTGGATAAGACTGCTAGGATTTTACAGCCCCAGTGCATCTACCTGCACTATTGGCAGCCCCAGGATGGTCTTGAGTTTGTTGCAGCCTTTTCCTGTGCTGCCTTGACCTTCTGAAGACTTTTCTTTACCATTTATGGTGCTACTTGCCTTTGCTTTGTGGGTTCCCCCTGCCCAGTCCCAAGAACTGTTTGGACTTGCCTCACTATGCCAGCAGGTGTTCTGCGGTCTTTTGCAGCTGCCTAATTCTATACAGAATTGATGCTTTTGAGTTATGGTGTTGGAGGAGACTCTTGAGAGTCCCATGGACTGCAAGAAGATCAAACCTCTCCATTCTGAAGGAAATCAGCCCTGAGTGCTCACTGGAAGGACATCGTGAAGCTGAGGCTCCAATACTTTGGCCACCTCATGAGAAGAGAAGACTCCCTGGAAAAGACCCTGATGTTGGGAAAGATGGAGGGCACAAGGAGAAGGGGACGACAGAGGACAAGATGGTTGGACAGTATTCTCGAAGCTACTAACATGAGTCTGACCAAACTGCGGGAGGCAGTGGAAGACAGGAGTGCCTGGTGTGCTCTGGTCCATGGGGTCACGGAGCGTCAGACACGATTAAACAACAAATTCTATACAGAGGTAGGCAAACAGTTGTAGCTCAGTGGTATAGCATCTGTTCTGCATGCAGAAGATTTCTGGTCCTATCCCAGGCATCTTCAGGTAGGGCTGAGAATGTTCCCCATCTGAAACCCTGTAGATCTGCTGCCACTCAGGGTCGACAATACTGAACCAGATGTGATTTGCATAAGGAAGATATCTGTGTTTCTCATGCACTGAAATATTCAAGATAGGAGACCTCTGGTTTTCCCCAATGCAAGGACATATAAACATATTTTATTTTTTTACAAAGCACATAGCAGAGGCTGGGAACATTCTACAGAGCCCTAAAAGGTCTATTGCCTTCAAACCAGAGCAATAACCCTTTCCCTATGCCTATCACATTCTGTAGAAAATTAAGGAACATTGAAGCTAGATGAGTCATGCAGTTTGCTTGTGTTTTAAAAATCTACTAAGTGGTTTGGATCATCAGTCCAAAGTGACGCCCACATATTTCTTGTAAGTTTGCTAGAATTCTTTGATTGTGAAGTGTAAATGTGTGTTCATAGAGGGTATTCCAGAAATGAAATAAATAAAAATACACCACGGGCTATGTGTAGAAAGAAAAGGAATTGCAATACTATAGTTTTATTGCCTCCTAGGGAAAGTGCAGCTGTAGCAACAGCAAACATAAAAGTCTCCACACTGAGAACATATTTCATTCAGAAGCCATTTCAGGGCATCCGTGTGGCTGATGCAAAGTGTAGAACAGTCCGTGGAACTCAGCTTGTACATAATTATCTCAAGCAAACTGGGTGCAAATCCAGTATAAAAGGTAGAGATTATGTGTTGCTTAACAATGTTCTGTGTTGTGAAGTATTTGAAAAGCTGTCTCTGCCTCCCACCCCACCGCCACAGTTGCAATCTACCCCCTCGGATTTGAAGTAAAGAAATATGGATTGTATTCCATTGTTTAAATTCAGGGTATTCTGCTGTCTGGCTGCTTTCAAAAATATATTTTTGTATCTGCACACCTACAAACAAGACAGCCAAAGTCTATCCATATGCACAATGATTCCCCCCCCCCCAACAGCAAAATACTATCTCTTGCCTGGAAGAAACAACATGACTAGACTACCACAGTATTAAGGACAATGAGAGGACAATGACAATGCCATCAGTGTGCATGGGCGCCTCACAAGGGCTCCATCTGCACTACATATTTAAAGCAGTATCATTGCCACTTTCAACAGTCATGGCTTCCCCCAAAGAATCCTGGGAACTCTAGTTTGTTCAGGGTGCTGAGAGTTGTTAGGAGACCCCTATTTCTCTCACAGCGCTACAATTCCCAGCATTCCTTAGGATGAGGAATTGGTTGTTCAGCCAGTCTGGAAATTGTAGGTTGTCAACCTAGAAAGGTAGCCAATCTCAGAGAAGGAAAACTCTGAGACAGACAATGCCAATTTGTGCCCCCTCTTTGCGATGTCAGGATAATCTGAAGCAGCCCGTTTATGTTTTGGTAGGAAGTTCCGACAGTTGTAGTGGCAAGAGAAGTTGTTGCTGAAGGGAGAATGAGTCCTTTGGAGGGCTGAGGATGGTGGAACTGGAGGGCCAAAGTTCATAAAGTTCACAAAGTTCATATTGCTAAATGAAAGAAGAGGGATGGGGAGGTGTAGCCATGGACACCTTCAAAGGTAAGTAGTTTGTACTTGATCTGCAACTGAAAGGAAGCCATTATTGTGATGTCCCACAGTCTGAATGACAAGACAGATGAATTGCACCTATAATATGGAAACATTGCTTAAATGCTAAGAAAACGACTAAAGTATTTCTTTCTTTTTTTAGTTCTAATTTTGTACATGTTTGTCAAACTCAACCGTCTTCTCTCAAAATAGAGCAATGAAGAAAACTACCAAGAAATCCGACTCAAAGAGTAATCTGGCTTTCTAGGATAGTGTTGGAATATGTAAAACGTATTGAATCTTAAAGAGTTTCTTTGTTGATTGCGTTTATATCCCGCCTTTCTCTCCAAGGAGCTCAAGGTGGTTTACATGTTTCTCATCCTCACTTAATCCTCACAACAATCCTGTGGGGTAGGTTACATTGAGAGACAGCAACCATCCCAAGGTCATCCATTAAGCTTCATGGCTGCGTGGTGATTTCAACCATGGTCTCCCAGGTCCTAACCCAACACTCTAACCGCTACAACCACACCCTCTAGCACTAACCTTGGTTCCACTTTCTGTACCCTCCAACTACCAGCTGTCCCAAAAAGGCTTCCTTTTGTCTTTAGAAACTCCTACTGATTCAGAACATTGGTCTGAATCTAGCTCAGTGTTGACTGGCAGATGCTCTCTAGAGTTTCAGACTAGGATCTCTCCCAGTCCTACTTGGAGATGATGGGAATTGAACCTTGGAATTTATGCACACAATGAACATGCTCTCTGCCTTTGCCTTCCCTCATTTCCTGGCAAATGCGATGAGATGGAGCAGCTTTACCCCTGCTTGCCTTAATGAGATGCTCTTTTAGCTGTTGGGATGCAAGGAGAGGGCCCCAATCTTAGAAAGCAAAGGAAAATGTAATTGGTTAGCTCTAAACAAGCACGATGATGTTTTATTGTTCTGGGCATCATTCCAAAGCATAAGGTAAACACAATAAAGCAGAAACTTCAGGTAATTCAGTGTATTAACCTTAATTGAAACAAGAGAGTTGGTCATTTAGCTCTCCCACTGTTTGTACAATACTTGATTCAGTAGGCATGGAAGAAATAGTAGATATTTACAATATACCAGGGTGTACATGAATTCATTGTGACAACATGTTAGCAGAATGAAAACATGAAGTTTAGAGGGAGTACAATGTGATGCATCACATTGCCAATTATGTATACATTGATTTACAAATTAAGACACCTGGAAGTATTTAACAGCTTTTATTAGCTTGTTGTTCTCTTTTATTTTTTAAAGAAACACATTTAAAAATGGCAGCATGTTACATTTAATTATGAACAAGTCTGTTTTCATGAATACGCCTATCATATATTTGAGAGAGAGAGAGAGAGAGAGAGAGAGAGTTTGTTTTAGACAAGTATTTTGATCCTTCCCTAACCCAGCCTTCCACTGAGTTCATGCCAATTGTGGATGGCTGAGGCCTAGCATGCAATGTAACTTCCATTATGGAAGCCCAGAAAGAATGAGCAGACTGGTGTTCTTCAAGCTATGCTGGGCACACCTTTTCTCCAGAACCTTACACTTTCTCACATTCCCTCCTTTGCCCTTCCTTCTATAGCCTCATCCATCTTATGCCTCATGTGCTTGCTCAGTCTTGTGTGCATGCCCTGTGTGTTCTTGGAAGACAGTGTCACAGCAACTTGCCTGCTGCTCCTTTCATCTTGCACCCTGAGTGGAATCTGGTCAGGAGAGACTGGAAGTGAGGAGGTGAGCCAGCAAAGATCCAGGAGAGAGAGGAGGAGGAGGAGAGAATAAAATGCTAAGAGGAGAGGTGGATGGACAGAGCTGACAGGGGTTGCCACAGAGGAAAATCAAGAAACACAGAAGTAAAGAGGAGTCACTGAGGAAGGCCTGGGGCCCCGCAAACCTCCAATGGTTAGCTTAAAGGTGTTAAGAAGAGATTCTATGAGGCAGAGGACCGATGCTACAGTAAAGCTGTAGGGCTGTACTCAGAAGCACCCAACTGAGGAAATAAAACATGAAACAAACAGGATTGATGGTGACAAGAGCACCCAGGATTGTGAGAGTATGGGGCTCACCAGGTGGTGTCTTAAATTAAGAGACACCCTGAGGCTCCGAAGATCCTGCAGAGAGGGGTGGAGCAATCCTGACACGTGTTAAGTTTAGTTGTGGTTAGAATTATTTAGCTAATACTCCCAAAGCTGAAACTATTCACCATTGCTGTAACAGATAACATTTCACTGCAGTATTAAATGAGTAAATTTTGTCTCTGTGTGTATTCAGTAACTTGTCCCCCCATTTTAAGGGATGCGGGTGGCGATGTGGGTTAAACCGCAGAGCCTAGGACTTGCCGATCAGAAGGTCGGCGGTTCAAATCCCCGTGACGGGGTGAGCTCCTGTTGTTTGGTCCCTGCTCCTGCCCACCTAGCAGTTCGAAAGCACATCAAAGTGCAAGTAGATAAACAGGTACCGCTCCGGTGGGAAGGTAAACGGCATTTCCGTGCGCTGCTCTGGTTCACCAGAAGCAGCTTAGTCATGCTGGCCACATGACCTGGAAGCTGTACGCCGGCTCCCTCAGCCAATAAAGCGAGATGAGCGCTGCAACCCCAGAGTCGGCCACGACTGGACCTAATGGTCAGGGGTCCCTTTACCTTTACCCCCATTTTAAGATCTGCATGATTCTAAGTTACTAAGGTAAACCTGTCCCTGTGTCCTAATGCCACTGCCTAGAAATACTAACTCATGTGACTCTTAGAATGTGTATATGGGAGACATGTACCTCCTGCAGAGGCTTGCGAACATTACCCTTAGGGATATGCAATATTGAGCTGGTAGAACCTCTGCTTTAAATGCAGAATGTCTCAAGTTCAGTCACTGGCATCTCCAAGTAGGGGTGGAAATGTCTCCTGTCTGAAACCCTAAACAGCTGCTGATAGTCAGTGGAGAGAATGCTGAGCTAGATGGACCAATAATCTGACTCAGTAGAAGGTGGTTGCTTCCTAGGTTCCTAGATGTTCCCATGTTCCAGAGATCAGACTTCAGTATAAAGCACCTTCTTTGTTTCTAACTGCTATGGACAGCAAAAAGGACTGTTGCTATGGGCAGCAAAAATAAATAGACAAAACTACTCCCTGTATTACTCTATGAGTGTGTAGGTTTCATAAGTGCGCCTTCACTAAAGAGGCCTTTATCCATTCATGCAATGACTAACATTCATGATTTTTGCATTTTGGATATGGAAGCCCTTGTTTTTAGATGCATGGATCGAGGCTACAGAGACAAACCGATAATGTAAATGAGGCTCAGAGCCACACTGATTGCCAACAATATTTCTTTTGACTTCAGTAATTGGCTGTTACCTTCCATTACAGGGATAATATTTAAGAATGAATAGCTTATTTACATTTCCGTTCAGATGGCCTCCATTCAA